ATCAAGACCACATATCATTCAGTGAGATTTAAACTCAGGATGGTTCCTAAGATTGTAGTCCTAAATGTCTTATTAGAGTAAGCTTTTTTTTTTTTTTTACTAAATTAAGCATTTGTTGAACCAATTATTCTGATCAGTTGAGAGAGACTCTTGAACCACACCATAGAGCCAAAAATAGAAACAAAGCAGTGAGAACCCTTGCCCTTTATGGGAAGACATGGCAAGGAATGCAATGAATCGTAGAGGGTATGGATTTTAGGGGCTCATTTGTGGCACTTACTGGAGCTGCAGGATTTTTACTGGATGAAAGCTCCAAATGTCTGCCATCTCTATATTTTGTTTCAGAGCAGTTTAGAGGGAGACAGAGCCCCAGACCACAAGGGTGCTTGCTTCTCTGCATCCTTCCTCTTGTCTTTAACATTCTCACATGTGACACTAATGGAATAAAGCTTTCAAGCTAACAGGAAGATCAATAGAGATTTTATAAGGCTAGCAAAGACTTTTTGAGCATCATGGTATATGACTCAGTTTTCTTTATGAAAAATGAAAGAGATTCAAATTAATACTGGAAAGTCACCTGAGTCATTTAAAAAATGGTATTTTTGAATGGTGAAATAAAAAATGGTATATTCAATCCTGTCTGCTAGTTACCTAGGATTTCCAGTTTTTTAAATGTTGGAAATCTTAAATAAATTACTTCCATCATGTTCTCAAATAGTGAAATTCCCTGTACTTTGTTTAAAAAAATAATAGTAAGATTTTATTTCCCGTTATTATAATGGAGGGTTTGGGGCGGTTGTTGTTGTTGTTGTTGTTTTAAAGATTTTATTTATTTATTTGACAGAGAGAGAGAGATCACAAGTAGGCAGACAGGCAGGCAGAAGGAGAGGGAGAAGCAGGCTCCCCACTGAGCAGAGAGCCCGACATGGGGCTCCATCCCAGGCCCCTGGGATCATGACCCGAGCCAAAGGCAGACGCTTAGCAAGACTGAGCCACTCAGGTGCCCGTTGTTGTTTTCTAAAAGCTCATATTTACTTAATGCAATGGTAACTTGAAGGGCATTCAATCTCCTGAAACTGTCACCTAAGTCCCAGAAACACTGAGGATTGCCTCTTCCAAAGCCAGGTTGTACCCTAAAAACCATACCAATAAGCCCAGCCTACTTGAGGGCCCCCAGGAGGTGTGATTGTAGCTGAGTCGGAAACCTCTGAGGACAGCAGCTGAGCCAGACTTCGCACCCCAGGACCCTGTCACCAACTTGACATAGGTTTACTTTCCCCATTAGTGCTGCATGAGCAAAGCCCTGGGAAAACAGAAACCGTTTCCCACATTTGTGTAGGGAATAAAGAGAGAGCCAATAAAATACTTTCTACCAGTTATTGAGCATTGTGGTGGGTCCAGTGCTCTCACTAATTTTCACAACCCTGGAAGTAAGTGTTGTCCCTCTTTAAAGATGGGAAAATTAAGGCTGAGAGGTGATGTGCTGAGAATTCACACCCCATTAAGGGCACAGCCAGGTCAGCTGACTCCAAAGCACACACCACCGCCTCAAAACTTCCAAACACACTGCTACACCATGCCAAGAGCCCCAAGTGCCGTGGTTGAGGGAGGCCTAGACCTCAGTGGAAGAGCGAAAGAGAGAAAACGAATGTGTTAAACATCTGTTGTATTCTAAGCTCTGTGGCACATTCTTCCCATGCATCTTCTCCACTAATCCTCGCATCTTCCCAGCAGCCCTGTGAGGGAGGCCGTATCCTCCCCCCACCACCCCCCCAGCCCCGCAACCTACTCAGAGAGGACAAACTTTCTGAAGGTCACCTGAGCCCAGATCTGTTTGAGTTTATATCTTCCGTCTTATCACGAGTGTTAACCAGAGAGGTTTTTGGAGAAATAAAGATTCTTACAGTGGTGGAAGGAAAAGTGGACTGATAGAAAAGTGGAAAGATAACCTGAAAACGTTAGATGAATGTCTAACCTAAAGAGTAGACATTAACAATTATTTATAAATTATTATTGTTAGAATTATAACTTATAATCTTGGACTAAACAGACTGACCATTTTTAAAATTTCTTTTGCTTTACTAAGTTAAGCTGTCATTTTTACATGAGCATTAAAAATTTTAAGATTTCAAATGTGTCTTGTTATGAGTAGGACCCAGAAGGTTTTCCGGGATAGCAGTGAATTCCTGAGATCCGGATGATAAGAGGGCAGGCAAATCGATGTTCAGCTAGAGCAGATCCAGTAGAAGTCAGATGTAGATAAATTGGGATTCAAGTAACCAGACCTGCAGTTTAATTCAAGTATATTTTTTACATTTAAATTTCAAGATGATAAAACAAACTATAGCTCTTCCCCCCCCCCCACCGCCCCTGAAAAAAAAAGCTCTTATCAGAGATTATTTGGACAAGTCACTTGGACTGAACATGTGTTACAGTCTTTTTAATCTCCTTCATGGTGGACTGTTACATAATAGTTAGGATTGATGTTTGTTGTCAGGACCTGGGGGCCCTTCAGATATGCAATCACCAGAGAAAGATTAAATTATGTCATATATACCAAGGCAAGAAAGAAATGAATACATTTGAAATTCTAAACAAATCGTTCTCATTCTTTTTCAGTTAACTAAAAATAATAAATAGCAGATCCATAAATAGCTTACTAATTAAGGCTTTACTTACTGTGTGCTGGAGGTAGCTCTATAACAAAAAGGAAAATTATAATCATAGTACTCCAAATATGTGATACATTCTACTTCTTTCTGTTATGTTTCTTAACAACTTCTTTTTTTTTTTTTTTTAAAGATTTTATTTATTTATTTGACAGAGAGAGACGCAGCGAGAGAGGGAACACAAGCAGGGGGAGTGGGAGAGGGAGAAGCAGGCTTCCCGCGGAGCAGGGAGCCCGATGCGGGGCTCGATCCCAGGACCCTGGGATCATGACCTGAGCCAAAGGCAGACACTTAACGACTGAGCCACCCAGGCGCCCCCTCTTAACAACTTCTTTATGAGCAATTTTAATAAGATTAACTTGCAGAATAAGGAGGAAGGTGGTTCTTTTTTTTTAATTTATTTATTTTAGAGAGAGAGAGCACAAGCATGAGTGGGAGGGGAAGATGGAGAGCGAGAGAGAATCTCAAGCAGACCCTCCACTGAGCACAGAGCCTGTCGAAGGGCTTGATCTCACGACCCTGAGATCATGACCTGAGAAATCAAGAGTCAGACGCTTAATTGACTGAGCCACCCAGGCGCCCCATTATCTACAATTTTCCAAGCTAATACTATATGTAACTGAGAGAGAGCCACAAAGATTCGGTGTATTCCTCATTTAGAGGTCAAAGGTAAATTTAGGGAATATTTTTTTTTAGTAATTTCTTCTTAGTACATCTTGGGAATAGTTTTTAAATTTAGTCTTCTTAAAGCATAATTATTATCACACCTTTTCAGGTTCAAAAACTTTGAGGCAGTCATTCCTATTTTCTAGATAATGTCCAATTTCCAAAGCCTAATGGAGAGAGAATATGTACTATGTCGGGGCAAGGGCTGCAAAGAAAGCAGGGGAAGCAGTGCAAAGTGCTGAGTGATGGGGGTGCTATTTTAAACAATTCAAGGGGATTCTCTAATGTCTTATATAAGCAGAGTCGCAGAGGAAGTGAAATCCATGTGGGTATCAGAGACAAAAACGTTTCGAGTCCATGCAAAGTTCTGGGATGGACTGAGCCAGGATGACTAGAACAGAGTAATTAAGAGGGAAAGGGGTACCTTGTGGGCCATGATGGAGACCTTAGGTTTTACTCGGAGCAGGATGGGAGCTATCGGAGAGCTTTGAGCAGAGGAGTGACACAACTTATGTTTTAAGGGGATCACTCTGGCTACTAAGATGAAAACAGACTAAAGGTGGTCAGTGGGAGGATCATGTGGACTGGGTAAGAGGATATTGTAGTCACACAGGGAAGAGATGATTAGAAAGGCAGCAGGAGAGGTGGTAAAATGTTTTATAAGGTAGAGGTGAAAGAACTTACTAACACATTGAGCATGAGAAGTGACAGAAGTCAAGGATGAGTCCAGGGTTTGGGGCATGATCAGCTGGAAGGGTAGAATTGCCTCAGTTGGTGGAGAGGACTGGGCAGAGCAGGTTTTAAGGCAGAGAGTAGGAGGCAGAAACTCATGGGCTTGGTTTTTGACATGATTTGTATCTGAGACAATAGCAGACATCTTTTAAATATCCTTTGAATACACTGAAGTAATATGAGTAAAGCGACGCCTAGGTGGGCGCAGTGCGTTAAGCATCCGCCTTCAGCTCAGGTCATGACTCCGGGGTCCTGGGATCGAGCCCCGCATCGGGCTCCCTGCTCAGCGGGAAGCCTGCTGCTCCCTCTCCCTCTGCCTGCCACTCCCCCTGCTCATGTGCGCGCGCTCTCTCTCTGACAAATAAATAAAATCTTAAAAAAATATATATGGGTAAAGAAAGTAATATGTTTACAGTATGGGATCCTGTACTTGACGTAACCAGAGAATTACCTGGTATTTCTGCCCTTCATTTCTTTCCTAGAATACATTTCCCTTAGTCTCTTTAATAATCTTTGTTATGGAACTTTTGTCAGAGGCTTTATCAAAATCCTAGTAAATTTTATGTCCTGGCTCCTTTCTGGTGACCCACGTAGTTATGTTCTTGGAATTTTGGGTTCCTAATGCATGAACTTTCTAAGTACTAAGATCAGAGACTTTGGATACCAGTCATGCTTCCCCGTGCTTGCTTTATGTATGAACTGGGGCCCTGGAACATGCTACTTCTGTAGGATCAGTCGAGCCACGGACCTTGAGTTTTGAATGCGTCCTTCCCACAGAACTGGCAAGAGTTGTAACAGCCTCATCTTTTTATTTCCCGAATCTAGCTTAGTACCTGATACAGAGGTTCACAGTAAATGTTGAATAGGTGAATGTTTCTGAATCACTTTTAAGAAACTAAATATGGTCTTTTCTCTTTTGTCTCATTTGTATAGCGCCTGAAAGCTACAAAGTGCAAGATAAGAAAATTGCTGCCTCCAGCCGGCCCTCTGCTATTTCAGGACAAAATAGCAACTACTCAGGAAATAAGCCAGGTACTATGCGTGGCATTTACTGTAGAAAAAAAGGTTATCCCTAAAGCCTAAGGCGGGCTAGAATTTAGGAGAGCTTAGTTCCAGTCCTGCTACCAAAACACAGACAACTCATACTGGCTTTTATAAGTTTAAGTCCAAGACCCTCTTAAAGCCTTGATTTTCTCTTTTTAAAATGGAGATTCAAACACATGCCCTGCTCACCTCCCAGAATCATTTTGGCAATCAGGGAGATGATGCATGTGGGTGCATTGTTTACTATCAAGCAATGTATAAGAGGTAATCATTTTCCTATTCTTTTTTGAAATGATGCGTACGACACAATTTTTTGTACCTGTGCGCCCAGCATTATTGCATATCTTTTTTGTGACATTTTCAAAAGCCATTTAAGAAAATCTTCACACGTAGCAAAGCTGGTACAGAGTTATGTTTCTGTTCTCTATTTTCTGCAGTGATTGTACACCTACACAGTAATTTCATTTAATAGCCTGTGATTCATGGTCTGTTCCACTCAGTGATACAAAGAAGCAAACAGCCTGTAAACATAAACAGTTGAATAGACAATGCAGTTGCTTCCAAGTATCCAGCAGCCATTGTGTGGCCCTTGGGAGAGACCACTGTCCAGTATGATGGTAAACAAGCCAAGGAAGGCAAAGACAAATTGAACCCCCCGTGAGGGCCTTGGAAGCCTACTTCGTGCAGCATCCAAGACCGAAGTCATTCAAGAACAGTGAATCAGTGAGAATAAAGATGAAAAATAACTCTTTCTAGCCGCAGAGAAAACATTCCCCCATTATACCTAGTTGGGTGGGGGGTGGCGGGGTTCCATGTGGAAAAAGATCTTAACAGAGCAGATAAATCTGGCTTGTTGCTTAAAAGAAGGACAACTAACAAGTACTATTGCATGGACTGCATGAGCGGCCATTAATGGAAAATGATATGTAGTTTCAGTGGAATTTTAATTAACAGGCTGAGATTCCCCCACTTAATTTGCCTTTCATCCATTCATTTATCCACCTACCACTCAGCCACCATCTACTACTTACTGAGTAATTGTCCTGTGCCTGGGACCGTGACAGGTACTGGATGAGCAAAGCAGGGCCCCTGTGTTCCCAGGCCTTATTTTAGTGGACTTGGGTTCCTTGTATTCAAGTGAGGATCCTTTAGCATGAAAACCTCATTTGTTTTACCATGAGAATTGAACATTCGCTACATGGTATATGCTGTTTTTCCCTTGTTTTGACTCTATTCCCTGTGCTGTACCTTTTATCCTTGTGACTTACTCATTGCATAACTGGAAGTCTATACCTCGCACTCCCCTCACCCATTCTGCCCATTCCTCCCCACCCCTCACCTCTCTGGCAATCATTGAGATTGTGCCTTTTGAGCATCATGTGTCTCCTTTCTTGTATATATATAAATAAGCAGAGGTACATATGAAGGTCTCCCTTTTAAAACCACCATGTTGTTTTCCTTAGTGTCTCCAAAGGATGATAGAAGAGATTTCATGTTGGAGGGCTAGGCTTGAGTAAAACCTTTTAATTTTATGAGATATAAGTCATGGGAATGTCTGACTAGAGCAGTTTATTAATTTTCATTCTCTGGAACTTGGGGGGTGGGGAGGAGTAAAGTAAGTACTAAATTTTTGAATATTTTGAGTATTGCCCTCAACCTGATATGGGCATTCTGACCAAATGATTTCTCGGGGTCTCTTTTAACCCAGGAAATTTTACTTAAATGTCTTTCCATCCTTAACCTTCTGATAACTTAAAATTCATTGGAATACTCTAGAACATCTCTTTGATGTTAATAACATTCAAGTTATTAATATTTTATCCTTAAAACATGTATAGAAGGCCCTTGTGGTTTATAAGTGTGGGCATAATATGTCTCGTGTTAACTGGGAAAGACCAGTACTCTCAGCTGTGAATACTTGGACCCAGACTGAAAGAGACCATTTGTAAAGTCACCGATCTGTCCATGTCTACAGAGTGGGTGATGGCTCTTGAGGACGCCATCAGCTGCCTCCAAATGATTCAGAGTGTGACCTGATTAGATGGGAACATTGGTACGTTCTTCATGAACTGTATATACCTGAAAAAAAACAGAAACTTAAGTTCATTAAAAAATCCCTCTTAATTCCTATCCCTTTATCACCCTCCACCACAAGTCTTTTTTTTTTTTAAGATTTTATTTATTTGAGAGAGAGAATGAGAGAGAGAGAGAGAGAGCACAAGAGGGGGGAGGGTCGGAGGGAGAAGCAGACTCCCCGCTAAGCAGGGAGCCCGATGTGGGACTCGATCCCAGGATTCCAGGATCATGACCTGAACCCAAGGCAGTCACTTAACCAACTGAGCCACCCAGGCGCCCTCCTCCACCACAAGTCTTTAAAAGAGCCACTAATAACTGCACTAGCATTTATAAATCATTTCCATCGCAGAGGAATGCAGGCCTTGGAATCCTCCAGGTCTTCTCTGGCCGCTACATCAAGCCACTTGTGATGACTCCCTGGGTACCAAGGTGTGCAGAAGGGCCCGGGGTTGAGCAAGAGATCCGGTTTTAAGAACTAGCTCTAACATTTCACTGTACCACCTTCCTTGGTCACAGACATTTCCCTCAGTTTTCTCCTTTGGAAAACAGGCGTGAGAACTCATCATTGAAGGAATAAGTGCTTGGCCAGCTCATAGAGCTATTGTAAAGAACGAAATGATAACATTTGTGAAAGTGCTTTGTAAAATGCAAAGCCCTGATGAAGTTACTTATTGCATCAACAGTAGTTGTTCGGATAGAAGTCAAAGACTGGTGAGCTCTTGAGCAAGCCTTGTCAGTGTGAGTTGATTTTCTTATCTTCGACAGTCACTGAGTTCTCATTTGTGGTCCAGGTTCATGCATGTCATCGAAGACAGAATATCAGGAGCACTTCCTGTCACCCTTAAAAGTGCCCCAGTTTGGGTGGCCACCCCCTCCTTCAGTCATCCCGGCAGGAGGTTGAAAGCAGAGTGCAGCAATATTCTGTTGCTCTGAAAACTTTTCCTTCTGACAGTGTTAGATCTATCAGGAAACGATGTGAAATGTTCATAATGTTCATGTACTTCCTGTACCTTGATTTTGCTCCAGGGTAAAGTGATGTGAAGGATGGAGATGAGAGGGAGAATTCTAGAACATTCACTATTTACTTGGAACTATTCAATTTTTTCATTTTTGGAAATCTAGCTTGAAAGATAATTTTTATCAGTTTTTGGTTATGAAAACTGACTGCTTAGCATTAATTTTTTTTTTAATCTATTATCAAATACAAGATTGCTGTTTGTTTGCCCCGTTGGTGCATGTTAGTGGAAGTTTAAAGGCTCTGAAAGTTAGCAAAGGTTGTTTGCTCCTTTATTCAACCGATGCTGACTGAATATTCTCCTTTCTGGCAGATGGGAATAAGCAGTGAACAAAACAAAAGGCTCTGTTCCTCCCCACCCTCATTCACACCATCTTTAATCTGCCATAAGTATTATTGACATTCTAGCACCAGAGTGACTCTCTCTCTATGTAATCAGAAGGATGGAAACAGAATCTAAACTGAATGCCTTGGGGCGCCTGGGTGGCTCAGTCAGTTGAGCATCTGACTCTTGGCTTCAGCTCAGGTCACGATCTCAGGGTCCTGAGATGGAGCCCCACATCGGGCTCAGGGTGCTCAGCACAGAATCTGCTTGAGATTCATTCTCCTTCTACCCCGCCCCCAAAAGAAATAAATAAATAAAATCTTAAAAAAAAACCTGGGGCGCCTGGGTGGCTCAGTTGGTTAAGCGACTGCCTTCAGCTCAGGTCATGATCCTGGAGTCCTGGGATCGAGTCCCACATCGGGCTCCCTGCTCAGCGGGGGGTCTGCTTCTCCCTCTGACCCTCTTCCCTCTCTTGCTATCTGTCTCTCATTCTCTCTCTCTCAAATAAATAAATAAAATCTTTAAAAAACAAAAAAAAACCTGAATACCTTTGTCCCTCTACAATTCAATATTTTCTAATGCCAGGTTCCTAAACCAATCAAAATCATCTAGCATATCACAATCACCATGCCCTAAGTCTTTACTTCCTCAAAATCTGATTCCAAAGTAATAGTGATTATCATTTCAGCACTGATCTCAAAAGAAGGTCAGTGGGAATCATTGGACATATAAGCATCGGCCTTATTTATAGTGATTAATTGATATATTTGTGCAGCACTATGTGCAGCCTTGTTTCTTATATGATCAGGCAGGATGCGGTTTATTACATGTGATGAGCATAATCTTCATATGAAATAATATTACAGAAATCACCTCTTGTGCTATTTTTCCAACTGTGTATCTAAAAGGCAACTATTATAGTGCGTAATTGGGTTATTGATAACAGTTATTGATTTGGGGCCATCAGGGTTGGTTTGGGTTAGAAGAGGGTGAGGGTGTGTTTGTCCCATATGTTGTTTTTAAAATCTTCCTTTCAAAATTGTTTTTCAAAATTTTGCATGTAATTTGGCATGTACTGGAAAGTAAGCTAGAAATGTCACATCCTTCATATCGATAGTCTGTGGCAGAATTTATAAACATAATTCCAAGTAGTTAATTTTTAAAGTTAGTTAGTTAGTTAGTTAAAGAAAACACGAGCGCCAGGAGAGGGGCAGAGGGAGAGAGAGAATCTCAGGCATGCTCCGTGCTGAACACAGGGCTTGATCTCACCACCTGGAGATCATGACCTGAGCCCAAATCAAGAATCAGACACTTAACTGACTGAGCTACCCAGGCGCCCCTAAACTATTTTATGGAGACTTTATGTGATGTTCTTATGCATCTTTTTAAATAAAGTTGATTTTTGAGTTTTATAGTTAAGTAAGTGTTTATGAACGGGTAAACCTCATTATTTAAGGAATATTACTTAAGTGGTAGGTAATCATTAAAGGTTTATTCTAACTTCATTTTGACTTGTTCTCGGATAGTTCTTTCTTAAGAATGGTATTTGCCATGCTATCATTTCTTTTCACCAGAAACAAATGACAGTAAAGCACCCCCGTGTATGGCCCTTAACCGGGTGCCTGAGCTGGAGTCCACATGCCCATTTTCACATTTCAGAAGTAAACCTTTTGGGGCCAGGAGCTATATTTTCTTACACAAACAATATTTGAAATCTAATAAATAATCCGTATATCTGAGAAGTATCATAAAAAGTGTGAGCTACTGAGGGGTCCTTTTACCAGTTTTTAAAAATCTTACCTTAAAAGGAAGGAAAAGCATAAAACACCATCACTTAGTCTTGCTCATGATTCTCACTGCCAGGTTTATGCATGCTCCTGATGGGCCTTTGTACAGTTTCTGTTTCCCCTGGATGTACAAATTCTGTGACATTTAAGAGGCCTTTGGGATGGAGGGCCTTTAGATTTGCTGATCAAGCACTACCATGCTGTCTAAAATATTGTCCCACTAGGTTTCTATTTTTAACATGAGATCTTAAAAATATGTCAGTTTAAGACAGGAGAAAATAAACCTGATCTTAAGGTCATCATCATCATCATCATCATCAT